CATCTCTAGTCAGAAACCGTCCCGAGGACAAAACGAGCTCAGGCTTTCTTTGCTTCTGCGTGTCTGCAGCTCTCAGACGCTCTTGATGGTGGCACCACCCAGTCAGCAGCAGGAGGAGGTCTCTGGCCCGGTGGTGGAAACAACCAAGCAGGAGGAGGTCTCTGGCCCGGACAGCCCAATGCCCCCGCGTGGCCAGGTAAGAGGTTTGAAAATCTTCTGAGTTTCACACCTTTCACTCTGCACATGGTGGAAATGACAATGAAGCCACCTGACTTGACTTGATCAACCCAAACACAAGCCCAACCCTCCGCTGTAGACTTTTACTGACCTCTGACAGTCACGTCTCTGAAGGGTCTTCACGAGGCCTCATTATTAAAGCAGCATCTTTACAGCCACCAGGTCACCTTCTACCTGTCTAAGGTTAGGGTGGGGTGTCACCTGTCAAACAGTCTCCTACAGTATTTTGCCATTGCTGTTCGCAGCTTCCATCTGGGGTTATGTGAGGACGTTAGCCTGTGGTGCCCAGGTGGACGTTAGCCTGTGGTGCCCAGGTGGACGTTCGCAGGTTAAATAAACAGGTGAATGTTTGTGGAAATGACTTTTGCCTCCACTGAAACCTCAGGTCAGCCCAACCAGCCCACCTGGCCCGGAGGTTCCACTGGTCCAGCCTGGCCTGGAGGTCAGCCTGCTAACCCTACCTGGCCCCAAGGCCCCAGCCAGCCCAGCGGACCTTGGGGTGCAGGTCCAGGCCCTGGACCTGGACCCACTCCTCCTGTTGCACCCCAGCAGAATCTGGTGAGCCAAACAGAGACGGAAACAGAGGACAGGCAGAAGGACAGATGTAGTAAACAGCTGTTTTCTTCTTGACAGACGGTTCCCTTCAATCTGTCTCTGCCTGAAGGAGTGCACGACAAGCTGCTGATCACCATCGCTGGAACTATCAAACCCAACGCTGACAAGTACGAATGCTGTGATGTCACATAGTGACGAGAGAGCAGAGGTCAGACTAAAGAAGCGAGCGGGTGTAGAGCAGAGTAAACAGGAAGCGCAGAGCGATAACCTGACAGTGGTTAAATCCAGTCGTTACTGAGTAACAGTAATGAAAGCGGGCAGTAGGAGAAGACAGTGAGCTCATGTCACCTCATTGGACAAACTGTAGGTGTAATCACACAAAACCTTCATGTTTGCTGTGAACACATGATTAAAAAAACAACGCGAGGACAGCTGGTGAACAAGGATGAGCGAGGTCATCAGCTACACTTTCATTTGTTTGCATTCATTCGCTTGTTTCAGTGAAGCAAAATCAGACTTGCGGCGCTTAACGCCACATTAACATCGGCCAAAAAGAGAAACGATTGATCCAGATAATCCGATTCTGATGGAGAAGCTCTAATAGTCAGTAATTCACTGAGGTCTCTGTGATTCATCAGGATCACGGTGGACCTGGCCACAGCTCGTGACATCGCCTTCCACTTCAACCCTCGCTTCAACGAGGGCGGCAAGAAGGTGATCATCAGAAACAGCTGCATCGGTGAAAAGTGGGGCAAAGAGGAGAGGGAGCTGCAGCACTTCCCGTTTGTGCCGGGGCAGACTTTTGAGGTCAGACAGCGTCAAAAAAATCCTCCGTTTGTTTCTGTGAGGCGGCGATGACGCCAACGACAGTCTCTCATGTTTCTCTTCCAGATCAAGATCCTGTGCACCAACACGGAGTTAAAGGTGGCCGTCAACAACTCTCACCTGCTGGACTTCAAGCATCGTGTCACCAACCTGAGAGACATCAGGAGACTCAACATCTACTACGACCTCACGCTGTCCAGGGTCAGCACGGAGTTGTTGCACTGAGACAGGCTGCTGACCCAGCAGAGATCAGTCAGGAGGAAATTATCAGTGAATGTTTGAAGGTGATCATCAGTAGATGCTGTGATTCTTCCACATGTTTCTGTTCAGGTGTCTAATGAATAAAGACGTCATATTCTGGGTTTTGTGCTTATTTCTGTGTCCTGCCTGGATGCCTGAAAATGATGAGCCTAGTTGAACCCCGACAAACTCGTCAAACAGGAGTTTTAAAACAGCTGGGGTCATCTGCAGAGGAGTGAGCGTTAGATGTCAGTGCAGCATTTAATGCAGCTTCAAACAGAGACTACAACACAGCGTTGGTGTTACAGGAAAAGCACTGGAGTGGCTGAATCTTCCAGTTTATAGGGACGAGGATCAGAGCCACTGGAAAAAAAGTTTGGACGTATTTTTTTAAATCAGAATTCTGAGAAAAAAGTCTGAGTTCTGACACTTTTTTGTTTCCTCCTCTTGCTTAAGTTTGTTCACGTAAACAAGGAACGTTTTTTACACATAACAGCTGTTCACGAAGCTCCACGGGGTTATGTTCTGGGAACAACGCTTTTAGAAAACACTGCATATTTTTCATTGCTGTGCAGATGATACCCAGTTTTATTTATCACGTGACAGAAACTTTCAGCCTGCAGTTCCTCTAATGTCCAGCAGGGGGCTCCGGCGGTGAGTCGTCCCTACAGATTCCCATGTTAAAATAAACATGTTAAAATAAACATGTTTACAGCCTAATGTAAGAAACTGGTCCAGAGAAGTTTCCCCTTCATGACGACTACAGAGAGGAAGAATGGCGTCGCGGCTTCAGAGCCTGGCAGCTTAGTGACGAGCAAAGGTTTTGGATTCACATTTAAATAAATTAATTTTGCTTCCATCCATTTACTTCAGCTTATCCCATTCAGGGGGCCTGGAGCCCATCCTCGACCTCATAAGGTGAGAAGCGGGGCTCGCCGTGGGTATTCACTTTCACACAGCAGTGTGTGACTGTTGGAGGTAGCCGGAGAGAAGCCGTGCAGACACGAAAACATGCAAACACAGAAAGAAATCTATGACGGACTGTCGGAGCTACATTCAGGAACTAATGTGTCCCTAGTTCTCCTACATACACTGAAAAAATAGAATTACTTTAAAGTTAGCGTCTCTGAGAAAGAGTTTACCTGAGTCATTTACAGAGGTGGCAAAAGTACAGACTCTTTACTTCTAATACATAAAGATGTTTTTAATGTTTTTATGGATGATGCACTGATTGGAGACCGCTTTTAATAATAATAACAGATTGCATTTATATAGCGCTTTTCGGGGCCCTCAAAGCCAAAAAGTAGGCGGTAGGTGAAGTGTCTTGCCCAAGGACACAACGAGCGAGACTGTCCGAGTCGGGGCTCGAACCGGCTTCCGGTTACAAGACGAAGTGCCAACTCTTTGAGCCACGATGGCTCTCGTACCTGCAGCAATGACAATAAAGACATTCTGATCAAAAATACTCCAGTAAAAGTACTGAAGCAACTTTTTCACTGAAGTAAAAGTGAAAAAGTCCTGCTCTGAAGTATCCTCAGCGTAGGAAAGTAACAAGTAGCCCCTTGAAGGACAATTCTACAGTTACAAAGGAAACTGAACCTCGTGTGTTAATATAATATTAGTACATGAAAATACAAATATTAATCCAGTGTAATTCTGTGTGAACTGAATCTGTTATGTAGGAAACCCGCACTGACAGAGAATTAAAAAATAACGAGTTTCTGTTGTCAAGATTACACAGTGTGACTTCCCCCCACACCTAAACAGACTGTGCACAGTCACAGTGGACTGTGGATTCAGTGCGTGGGGAACCCGGAGATCAGTGTAATGATTCCGTGTGGGGAAAACAATCAAACTAACGATCATTTCTACTGAGAGCTGCAGAGGATTGTGTGGGTGTGCAGGCTGTGATCAGCTGACCTGCTGTCTCTGTGGATGTACACCTTTAGTCTTTTGGGTTATTTCGGGTGAACTTCGAGGCTTTTCAGTCTCAACACGTAAAGTGTAAACGGTCCGTTCTTGTGAGGTGCTGAGCACAGACCCGGAACCCTGCTCGGATTCAAACCCGGGACCTTCTTGCCTTCGTGCCGTTGAGCCATCATCGTCCATCTGATGAAGCGTGTCGGCCCTCTGGGTGTCGCTAAAACCGAACCTACGTGTTGTTGATGCTCAGGATAGGACTGCTACGTCATGACGCACAGCCGCAGGTTGACGTGCGCGTGCTTGATCGGGAGCTTTACTATGTAGTTAGGTGAGGAGCGCGCACCTCCGTGCTGCGTTTAAGCGTTAAACAGTTTAAAAGTGGGTCCACGCACCGGCGAAGCGAAGGCACCGACAGCAGCTGGGCTACGGACAGTCAGGACACCCCGGACCGGAGGACTGCACCGTCTGCGGTCGCTGCCAGCGGAGCTCCCCAGTGGACGGGCTCAGCTTCCTCCTTCAGGTCAGTGCGACCCGCGGCCTCTTCTCTCCGAGAGTCCGCGGCTCGGGGCCGCTGCTGGGTGTCGGTGTGGGGTGGAAACGATCCGATCTCCACCCGCAGCGTCTCCTCAAAGTTCCTCCGTGTCCTCTGGAGTGTCGACGTGCCGCTCTGTCCTCCTATGCTCCCCGCTAGTTAGCTGCAGACGCTAGCTAGTTAGCCAGGTGTTTAATGAGAGCGAGCGGCTGCAGCTAGTAGCATGCTAACTAGCGCTGCGGCAGCGAAGTTTGTTTTCGTGTAGCTCGGTTGTTTGTTTGTAAACAGCGCGCGGGACACTTTGTTTACCGAGTGTTGCTGCGGGTGTGGCGGAGCTCCAAGCCGCTCCCAGCTGGGTTACCGATTAATGTTCGCCGTTAGCAGGGCGGAGGCCCAGGAGGGTGGGAAGTTTACAGGCTGTTAGCTGCTAGCTGTTAGCCTCGGAGTGCAGACTCAGCAGCTGGCGGTCGGTTTGGCCCGGGTCTGTCCCGGTCTGATCTGAGACTGAGCTCCCACAGGGTCTAATGTCCTCATGATGATTATAAAATCACTTTAGAAACACACATTCCTCTAAACTCTGTCACACCCTGAGATGAGTCAGAGCCCACAAACACTCTGTGTGTGTGGACGTTATCAGCTGGTGTCTCTGTCCGTGGAGATCACAGCATGTGAGTGAACAGTTTTTGTGATACTCGCTCCTCTTCAGGATCCTTGGGGTCTTCACAGGACTTTGAGCCTCTGCTGGAGAAGCCATCAGGACCTTGTTCCTCAGCAGCTCCCTCCTCTGCTCGTGTTATACCTGACCACTCATATAACCTGTTAATGTGGTGCTTTCTTGGCTGTAAATGGGCTTTAGTCTCAGGGGTGTCCTGGTTAAATAAATAGAAGAATCCGTGGCCTGAAACACAGACCTCTGTGATTCGTACAGAATGATTTAGGCTCCTGATCCGTGATTCAGCACTAAAGATGCTAATGATTAATCACTGATCTAAAGAAGCTTTTAATTTGAAGGCTCAGGACACTGCAGAGTTGCAGATCTGCAGTGTGACACAATTTATTTGGATTCTAATCAACGTTTTGTGGAGATGTCATACAGATCATTATCATGAATGTTACAAATGTAAATGAGGTCACGTGCCTGAGCGCTCCTGCTCACCCTGAAGGGAACAGGCGTCTGACGGGCTGGGACACAGTTAGGACGCCACTCGGTGGACGGCAGCATGTCTTAGAGATGAAACCATAGGCAGATGTTGGTGTTTGTTTATCTTTACCTTCGCCCGTGTCAGATCAGGCTGCTGGATCAGTGTTCCCTCAGGGGAAGGTGGAATATAAAAACTTCAGTATCATCGTAAAATCCCCAAACAATCAATAATCTCCTGTTAACACAGAGTAAATAAGGAGGCCTGCAGTGCTCCAGCATAAGCTCGCTGTCTGTTCTTTAATCAGAGCATCTGGCTCATTAGCATTAACAAAGCTTTGAAACGATCCCTGTTTAGACTGCCTCGGCTCGTGTATTGATCCTGATCAGGATCCATGTCTCTGATTGGTTCACGTCAACCAAAAGAGAAGGAAGCTGCAGATCCAGCAGCAGGAGGTGGTTTCAGGAGAGGGAGGAGGGAAATGCCTCCACCCCCCGCTCGGGCTCCTCGGTGTGTGTGTGGTTAATCAATCAGCTGATCGGTAATCATTTCTTATCATAATCTTTGATGCTTGAAGGAACAGAGTCAAGAAAGAAAGAAAGTGTACTTTATTGATCCCCGTGGGGAAATTCCTCCCTGCATGTAGCCCATTCACTCAGTGAGGCAGTGGCAGCCATTGGGCGCTCGGGGAGCAGTGTGTAGAGACGGTACCTTGCTCAGGGGAATCGAACCCCCGACCTTCCGATCATGGGCCCACCACTCTACGTACTGCGCTATCCCCGCCGTCCTTTTTTCACGTGTTGAGCAGAAACAGGACACCTGCAGTCCCGTCACACCTGTGCAGGTGAGCAGGTCCATGGCACTCAGGTTTCTCCTGAACTCTTCCTGTTGTGGGAGCAGGAAGCACCTGCAGATCGTCTCAGCTGGGAGACGTGGCGGGAATTAATCAGCTGTGAGGAGAAACGGCTGCTCACTAAACTGTCAGCTTTTATTTTGAAATATTTACAGTTTCCTGCTTCAACAGCACAAACACACACCAGTGCGCACTCTTGTGTTTGTGCGCCTGTGTGTGCTGAACACACTGTGACCGGCTCCTTATATAGACAGAGAGGACAGAGCTGGCAGCTGATTGGCTGTCAGGTATCATGAGCTGGTGTCTCGCTATAGACGCAAGCTGCAGGTTTGTCTGATGTACGGCGAGCTTTTCCTGGAGGCTGTGAGCTCGCTGCTGCTCCGTGTGGCGTAAACTGACTTCTGGCCCTGCTGGTTCACTCCCAGTCCTCCCAGTCTGAGTCTGCGTGTCTGATCCAGCTGTTGTAGAACATGTTTTCATTTCACTTTGAAGATATTGAAGATTGTGAAGCTGCTTACGGTGTGAGGATTACACACCTGGGCCGTGGCCTCAGGTGTGTGAGTCACTGATGTGTTGGTGTGTGCTTGTTTTTTCCTGCAGGGTGTGTGTGTGCCGTCACATCCTGACTCCTTTGGAGACCGTGGCGCAGGAGAAACAGCGCCTGGTTTAGCTTCCTGTGTGGGAGGAGTCAAGGCGAACGTCTGAGAAATGTGAAGCTGAAGGATCAGCGGAGCTGTCACTCAAACCAGTACCACGCCCCCCTGCACCACCACCGGCCAATCAGCACACAGAGTGGAGGTAAACACAGTTAGCATTGTGTAAAAGTGACGCAGAGAAACACATGAATACAACTCCCAAGATGCTGTGCGGCAGATCAGAGCTCCGGGTTCTGATTCTGGAAACACCACTGGGCGTCTGTTTTGAGCTGAAGAGCTGACCGGGACACGAATACCTCAGAAACGCTGCTGATGACACAGCTGTGCCTCATCCCTCGCTGCATGCGTGACCTCTGACCTCTGTGTGCTCCCAGTGTGTTTTATACCTGGCTCTGATTGGCCGCCCTGCTGCGGTTTGTGTAATCATAATTGTTCTCAGGCGCAGTGCCGACGGCCTGGAAACCAAACTCCTGTCGCTCAGAAACCTTCGCTCGTCTCGCTGTGGATCCGCATCTGATTGGATGAGAGCCGACTTCACTGCTGTGTTCAAACGGGCTTTTTGTTTCTGAGCACGGTTGTGTAACTGTGATGTGTTCGTACAAACACACCTTTTTCACGGTTACATCATCACTGAGGTCATCCTGCACACCCAGAGCTCTGAGTGTGTCCTGCCTCTGTAAGCGTCACGAGGTTGTGTAAGCTGTGTGCACGCGGGACGCTTCACGCGGAGCTGTGTGCACGCGGGACG